CGGCTCGGCCCGGCGCGGCCCGGCGGGAGGGCGGCTGCGATCCGCCGCGGCCGGCGATGGGAGATGGAGGGAGCCGGTGGTGCGGTAAGGGGCGGCGTGTGCCCGTGCGGGTGCGGGGGTTGCGCTCAGCCGGGGGCACTTTTCCCCGTTTACTTTTATTTTTTTCTTTTTCCTTTCTTTTCTTTTTTTTTTCTTTTTTTTTTTAAAACTTTTTTTCTGTTTCCTTTCTGTTCCTCTTTTCCTTCTTCCTTCTTCCCTTATCCCTTTCCCTCTTTTATTGTTTTCTCTTTTCCCTCTTGTTTTTTTCTTAAACCCTTTTCACAGCACCCTGAGGGAAAAAGCTCAGAGCCTGCTTCTGTCCTCATTATTCCTAGATCCCGAGAGACACCAGCTGCACCATGGAAGCTGCACTGGGACTCGCACCTCAGGGCTGGGACCCCCAGCCTGCATATCGTGCAGTTGGTTTTGCTTGTGTCTCCAAGTAACTTGTCTGTGTAACACATCAGCGCTGTTGAGGCACTGACAAGCTCCCTTAATCTCGCCAAATTCTTGAATTAAACGAGACGTTGTCAAAAAAAGTCAGCCTTCGGCTGAGTAGTAGCATTGCACTCTCAGGGCAAGAGTGGGATTGAGATGAATTCACCAAAAGTGTAAAATTGTAGAATATTGAACTACAGGAGGATGCTCCCATTCAGTTGAGGTGCTGTCTTCTTCCCTGCTCCCAAGAACTGAAGGTACACTTTTCAATGGGAGCATAAACATTGAGTTGTGTTGAGTCTGAACTTCACACAAACTCACTGAAGCTGCTAACTCCCATATAGATGAGTATTTCCATGCTATAAACAGCAATTACCTGACTCCCACAGGGTCCAGTTAGTATATTGTCAAGCCAAGCCACATGCATATGTTATTGAAGTGATTTGGGTGTGTAATAGGCAACTGCGAGTGCTATTAGTTTTGTAGCTTCAGTCACACTTTAATTCTGTCTGTGCATAGGTCATTAAAACAGAGAGAAAGTCAAATGCAGTATTTGTAATGAAACTGGAAGTTGCACACCCAGCGTTTGAAGCAATTTGATAGACTGCTGAGAGTCGTCCAAGCCTTTCTGGTTTAGCTAGTAGAAAGAAGCCTTTTTCTCCTCCAAATGCTTTTTCATCAGTCATATCCTTAGTTCATGGGTTTCAGCAGATGTTAGCAGTTTAATGCTCTCAGTGAATCTGTCCTAGCTCTGCTGATTTACACAGAGAGAGAGTTGGTTTTGGGGCATGCTTTTGCTGGGAGAAAGGTGAGGTTAACCATGTAGGAGACCCTGTGCAAATGTTCCCATTCAATTACAGCTTTGGTTCGTTGGGGAGTGTAAGAACATCCTTTGTAGTAGTGGTGATGTGAAAAAAAAATCCAAGAAGCCTACATGCTGCTCTTTTCAAAACTTGAGACAACAGAAAAATTAGAGCTTCTTAATCCGCACAGAAAATTCTTGCACAACTGACCCGTGTGGAAGTGTCTCTCTCATGCTGTTTGTACTTAAGCGGAGTGTTTGATTTACTAGTTCCATCTCTGTGCCATCAAATTGAGAAGGAAAGGAGCAGTGAGGATCCTAATGCACATACCAGTGGCTTTTTGTTCAGCAAATCCTTCTTTACTGTTGTCAACTTGCATGGCTGAAAGACATGGATGTTATTCAGAGTACTTTCTGTCCCCGCCTCCACCCCAACATGGTCATTTGTATTCTTGCCCATCACACCCAGGCAAGTCTGGCAACTGATTTTGTATAAGCTTTGGTATAAGAGATGGTTTGGGGTTTGATTCCTGCGGGCTGAAGAGGCAGTCTCTCTGCAGGAGTGCCATGGAGCATCTCTGCAGGCACTCCTCTCTATGGGTGTGTTCTGAGCCAAGTGCTGGAAGATTCAGCGTTGGGGCAGCACAAGTTGTACATCATACAAGGCCACCAGTGCAAAGGAAGGATGCTTTGGCCGTGGTTGATAAACTCTCTTTGTATGTGCACAACAGCTGATTACTTGAAACAATCCCTGCTTCATGGAGAGACCTGAGAGTTGGAGTGATTTTTCTCAGGCATGTATTTCTCTGAGGCATGTGTTTTTCTTTAGAGAACCTCTGCTTGTTTGCAATGGTGTTGAGAGAGAGCTTTCTTTAGAAAACCTCTGCTTGTTTGCAATGGTGTTGAGAGAGAGCAAGAGGCAGGAGTACTGCTGATTTGAGATAATTTAGAGGTAGCACAGTATAGTGGCTTAGTGAAGAGGGCCCACAAAAGGGAGGGGGTAGTGTCTGCAGAGTAAAATTAGGTGGGTCCTCAGGGTACCAAGGAGCCATCTGCCAAACTTCTGTTGCTTCAGCAAAGGCTGGACAAACCTGTGAACTGCTGCCAAAACTCAAACACTGGGGCAGTCAATCACCAGCCAGAGTATCCTGCTCCAGATCAGCTCTGCATTGCAAGTGCTGAGGATCCCCAGGGTGCAGCAGCTGTTAGAGTTGTTTGGTATGAGTATTGCTAAGCTGTCCCTGGGCTCAGCAGGGACATGTGCCACCTACCATCCTTGCAGGGACTTTACTTTGCAAATGATTCGTGATGGAGAGCTGGCTTCTGGTGGAGCAGGGATTTCACCATCTGCCTGTCCCACCCAGACCTGCTCTGTGACCTGGGTGGTTCATTGCATCCTGGTGGGTTGTAAAATTGTGTGTGGATACTTCGCTCTGAAAGTGTGGCTTCTTCCAAGGGGTATGTGTGACAGGGAGTTTCTCTGGACAGTCATTGTACAACAGAGTGGGTCCGCAGGTAAACAAATTTAGGTCTTTCGCAATTTGTGTCTTAAACTTCTGATTATCTTTCTAAATGGATTCTTGCCTTCCATGAACCCCACGGTCACAGAGACTGTTTCCACCCCTTTTTTCTGTTAGCAGTGATGTGAAACTGGGGTGTGTGTGCAGAAATAATATCCTTCTATCAGATGAAAAGGCTGTTTGAGACCAGCTCAAAGTGTCTGCCTCACACTTTCATTCTGGACATAAGCATCCAAAGTATCCTGATGCAGTATGCTTTCAAATACTGATGGCAGCTCCTCCTTGCTCTGAGATGTTTATTGCTGTTTTGCCAGTTCCTGTTCAAGACCACAGACTCCTAGGATGCTAATGCATCTGAACATTTATTCCCTGCATTACAGAGATGAGCAAGGCAGGTTGTGGATGGTGCTTAAAAGCAGGGTGGGGTGACAGCTAGCCCTCTGGGTGCGGGCTTGGTTGCTACAGGGTTGAATCAGGAGTCAGAGGAGCTCTGGTATTATCTAGCCCTTGAAGCTTGAATGGCTCCTGAATTGACTGTACTTCCTGGATGCTGTAAGTAAAAAAACCTGTTTGGGCACCAGATCAGGCTGTCCGTCAGGGACCAAGCTGTCCATCAGAGCGTGAGATTTCCACCTCCACTGAAGTGCATGGCATTTGCTGTGTCTCCCTTTGTTAAATGTGTGAAAAGATTTTCAGTGTCGTGACTACTGGGCTAAATTGAAGGAAACCAGGCTGGAGCTAGCTTCTGGGGATGGCCTGCCAGGGCAGAAACACACTGTGAGTACATCACGTAACTTTTTGCTGCCTGGTCACAGGACTGTCTTGCACAGGTCCAGGGATTGGACTTGATGATGATGATGGGTCCCTTCCAGCTCAGAGTATTTTATGATTCTATGACTGAAAGGAGGTCATTGTCTTGAAACTGTGAGCAGTAAGAAAACAACCTAAATGGCACAGATTACATAATACAAGCCTCCCTTTTTGCAAAAGCAGTGAATGGGACTTGCTTTCTCTTCTTGGCATGAAATGGCACAGTAGAAGAGATGGCTTACCTCCAAAGTGTACTCATTATTTTTTTTACAACAGTTTTCAAATGGGAAGTGTCATTTGAGTAATAACTGCATCTCCCAGGCTGAACAAATGCCAAGCGTGATGGTAAGATGCACATAGGCCTGGGATATGTCTGCGTGTCGGTGCTAACAGAAGAATGCTTAACAGGGGAGCCCTTTTCTCAAGAGGAAACAAATTCTAGTACCAGTGAGTTCTGGYTGTCATCAGCTGTCTTGTCTGTGGACTTCCTGTGACTTAATGAGGAAAAAAGAAGAGGTACTAACTTCCTCACCAGTGGGACATAAGTGCCAGCTGGCCTGTGTTGTGCTGCTTGTGGAGGATGTAACATTTTTGGTGTCTTCTGCGTTCCTGCCATAGCTGAAACTGCCTGTTGGCTCCTGACTGCTGTGCTTTCTTAGAAGCAAACAGTCTTGCAACAATATTTTCAGTCCTCCAGTCCATGCACATCAGGAGAAATATCTTGTGACTTTTCGCTTCTGCCTCAATCTGCTTCAAATTTCTGTTCTGAAAGACTCCTGTTAAATCTAGTCAAGGCTCAGAAAGAACTGCTGAGAATGAAAGCTGTAAAATTAATTTCAATATGTGATATGAAGTAATCATACAGAAACAATAAGGCATATCTAAGTCAGAGGGAGAAACATGCCCCTTTTCTGCATATTCTGTTGCTGTGGTGTAGTTTTATAGTTTGCACTTGCCACAGAGAAAATGCAGGTTTTTAAACCTTTGTAAATGTGAATTCTTCCAGTGGCTCTTGTGTCAAGGGGTCTAATGGGTGTGGGGTGTTTTTTTGTTCAGTGGTTTGTTTTGGGTTTTTTTTTTTTACCATTCGCTGAAATTGAATATTTTAATCACTTTGGGACACTATCTTAAACTATGTTTATAATATTGATTTGGAAAAACGAAGATGAGCTCTTGCAATACCCTGTTCTTCCAAACATAAGAGTAGTGTGTATTTAACTGAACATAAAGAATGTTCAGCACATAGCAAAGGATGTGGTCTGTATATTTTCAAGGGACAGCAGATGTTGGCTGGGGTTTTGGAAATAAGTTAGTTGCTTAAAGATACAGAAATAACTTCTGGTAGGCTCATGAGGCATTTAGACATTCAAATTTTAGCTTCCATAGAGTAGAAATCCATGTGGAGCAGACCTGTAGCCTGTCTAAACATTGTTCTGCCATCTGAGATGCCTGAAGACGGTGGAAGCACACTACCT